AAATCATGGAAGATAGATTGGTTTCTGTGCAAGAATAACAGTCATGTGGATGATGGCTCATAATAACTTCATAATATGACCCATATGTGGTAAATATTATGATGACTGTGATTCTGAATAAATTAAATAAATGGATGCCGATTATTAATCTATTTGTTGGCTAATCCAGTGGTTTCTGAGCCAATTTCTCAGAATTTTTTTCTGGAGTAGTTGAAAAGCACATTTCATTGATATTCTCTCTCCCTCTGAGATCACTTTTTCATGCACTACATTGTCACTATTATTTCTTTGACTTCTATTGATTCCACTATTTCTTGTATTATGGACCTTGGTTTCCTATACCTTTATAATGTTACAGCAGTGGTATTATATCACCTTTCCATACATAGTATGTAGTTTTCAAACTCTTCCTGTATTATGCAGAGCTCTGAACTATATTTCCAGAATGAAAAAATGCCACAAAAATAAAATGTGTTCTTTTTCAAAAATATAATCATAGCACAGTGTTCATAGTATTACTGTTAGGATTATGTTAGCTATTAAAACATTATAGCACCTTGTTTATGGCTGCTTATAATCAAATTTTATTTTACATTCCTATATCCTACAAATGGTAGGGATTTGGATGAATGGAAGCATGTATAGTAAACTGAAAAATGTCCTAAGGGCAAATAAATGCCAAGGTACTTAAGCTAGCAAACACATCTATTAGCCTGTAGTATTGATTACTGGTATCTTAAATTTTACTTGCCTGGTTTGTGGAATTATGAGATAGATATAGTAGCACTAACTCTGGGCACCATGCCTAGATACTTAGTGTGCTTTAAGCATTCAGTAAGCACTTTGCAGCCATCACAGAACAGACATGGCAAATAAGATGCTTTAAAAATGGCAGAACTCATCCTAAGTTAACCCTGGATGGATGTGTACTAAACTAGAGTGTTTTCTGCTGAGTGCTTTATTGAACTTCTGTGCCAGTTCCCATCGAGAGTTACCTTTGAGTACAATCACCATTATCCAAAGTAGTGTTGCACAGGGCTGCATTCTAGCCTTGGGCAGAGCTCATTTGCTCTGCACTTGCCTGAGCCAGCCCTGCCCCGCTATCTGTCACTGACCTGAGTCACCGACAGCTTCTGATCCCAGCCCCACATGCAGCTTGGCAGTGGGGGATATGACATGGGTAAAAGGGGGTTTCTGCCCCTGCAGCCACCCCGGCCCAATAGTGCCCTGCAGGCTGGTCATAGGTGGTGGGGCTGTGGGGAAAGGAGTACAGGACCTCTCTCCTGGCAGTCACCCTGGCCAAGCTGCAGCGTACCACTGCTTGACTAGAAGGGGCTGTGGGAGAAGGGCTCCAGGGTCTATGTCCCCACAGCAGCTCTGACTAGGGCTGCTGCAGGGGAAGGGTACTAGGGACCAGGTGAAGTCACACTGCAGCTGCTGGTTGCTGTTCTCAAGAGGTGGGGGGGAGGGAGCCCTCCCCATGCAGACCCAACCTGATCCCCACCCCAAACCCCAGCCAGCAAGTTGCAGGAGAGCCCTCACGGGGGGG